GAAGTTAACATCAGCTGGCATCCGCCGCGCCTTGCCGCGTTCATAAAACTTTTGAACACTATCGAATTTACTCTCATCCACGATCATGAGTGATATCTTCAACTATAGCAGTGTTCACATATTCGCAGAAAAATTGAAGACGGATAAAGAACAAATCGACAATTGGGGCACGCAAATGTATCCAAGCTGATTAATAAAAGAAGAGGAAAATGTGAAAGTACAAGCACCTAATTGATATCAGGAATATGAGACTATGATACAAACTAAGAAGGAATACCGTCAAAAATGCGAACTCTCATCACTACCAACGTAATTCAAGAGGGAAAACCAATACACAATACAAGCCAGGAACGATCCGATCGGAAGTGGATCCGAAACACCCCGAAGTAGCCATTCAACTAACCGATGAAGTACAAATCGTACAGACAACAACGCAACGCAAGTTGCGATCGGGCAAATTATATTGCGAGAAATGTACACATGAAATGGATAGTCACATGAAAGGATACTGGGTATTATTTTTCAAAAACTGTATGTAGGAAAATACCCACGAAATAAGCACCCAATCATCCGCGCCCTGATGATGTTTCCCTGACAGGGAACGAAAAATGTGCAAGCTAAGTACCAACCTCCGTGTACAGATCAACGCCCGTATAATCAGTTCCCGTTTTGGAAATGTCTGTTTTGTAGCTTAGGAGAATTTTAAGGGTTTCTTATCAAGGTCGCATTGTTCGCAAAGTAGATCTGTGTGGTTCAGACTGATTCATTGATGTTCCAATTCTATTTAAGGAATAAAATAAGTCTTGATTGACAGTGTTTATTGTACCGAGGAATATAGTGCAGAGTAGCATTCCTGTGGTTTGAATCGACGCGGGCTCTTGGACCTGCAAATCCATCTCTGCTGAAACATGTTCACTGCAACCAGGTGAATAATATTCGTAATCGTAAAGGTAGAGCTGTGATAGATTAAAACATAGGAAATCAATAAACACACAAAACGATGGATTCAGCAGTGTCCTAGTTGAATCTCTCGCAAACCCATTTTAGTTTGTATATACGTATGTTACAATTATCTTATATTTTGGATTGGAGTTAAAAAGTCAAGATGCCATCCGCAAGTGAATCCTAATTTCCGCGTTTGGCGGGCTATCGCCATTTAATTTCGATCAGTGAGGTTGGTGGTAATGGGATCTTACATATTTGAAGGAAGTATGGGGGAATGGAGACGTATCCAAAGACACTATGCCTCCAATTAAATTTTTGTTTTAATTTTGCCTTAAAACCAGGTCAGTTGTTGATAAGTTTATTTTGATGATGGTCTGCATCTGCCCCGTTTCGTCTCAAAATTTACAGTCAATAATTCTGCATTGAAATGAAGGGTCTAGTGTTTATTTTAGCGATTAGGTCACCCCCGTGAGATCCTTTTGTATGTTATGCAAAATATACTTAAATCTTGCTCATATAACTTTGACGCTTGTATAATGTTTGCCGTACGGATGCAGGTGTGGTTCATGAGATCAATTAGGCATGAATGCAGGCGTGCTCCAATTCCATCTTTCACGAATAAGAGGAACATTTCTTAAGTTCATTCAATGGAGAAAAACACGTCGTATGAACGAGATCTCCTCGTGCTCCGAGAATTCTGACACATTTTGAAATGAAACCGGAGTGCCAAACTTAGTTGTTAACTACTCACGAAGTTCAAGTAGCCGCACAAATGCAACAAAACAGGGTTGCTTATTCTTGATCGTTTTCCAGATTATTCGATCCTGTACAATCCAAGCTATGGAACATTCAGAGTGAGCCTGAGCGATATTAACTTTATAATAATCGACTAAGCATCGCGGATGCCGTTGGTTAGTTGCCCCGGAGGATGATCTGAATCAAAGAGTGCGCTCTAAATCTGTTGGTATTCGGGATATGTACGCCATCATAGACAGGTGATGGCATTTTGGAAAGTATAAGTCCAACGCTTTTCCGCTCTTGGCGGAGATCAACTAGCTGAACAACGGTCGTTGTGCAGTATTTTGGGAAAATTATTCAATCACTGAAAACGCAGGTTGGGAATGGGAGATATGTGTCGTGTTGTGCATGCCCAATCTCATCAAACGGTTGATGGAGCTCGTTTCCGAACGCTTGAGTGCTCAAATTACTGAGCGGGAGGTCACGGGTTTGGGGAATAAAGGATTTTCGCCTCATGCGTACTGCTATTGATTCCTTATATGGATGAACAGTTTTGAAGAACTCCTCGATTTTTCAATACAATTTGGCTTCCGTAACCCAAAGAAAACTTTACCAAGATTTCCAAAACCTCCTCACACTCCCAAAAAAACTTTAAATGCTCGATTTATTTGGCCACAGCCAGGACAACAGATTGGGGTTCATGAATGCATCACCGCAGGCCGACCGTCCGCTTTACCCACCTCTAGAGAGGATGCCATAAATTTCTCTAACCAGAGCACTCAGCGAAACATTGCGGCGAAACCCGTGGTGAGAGTATTCAAGGGGGCCTTATATTAGGCTACACGTACCACAATTGTTCAAACATGCATTTCACATGGCTAGTGGAATTGGTTTCAGATATCTACCCTTCAATTAGCTTGTTAGGTAGGACATCTTGGCTGTTGAAACGGCACTTTTCGGAATGGTGAGGCGTGCAACCCGTCAAACGACTAAAATGTCCGGTTTTTACGGCAATAAATTTTGCATTCACTTCTTACAGTGGAGTTAATACATTTATCCACCCTGAAGTCTGCCTTCCTGAGGTACGCATCTGTCCAAACTAAACCATTGATGTAGTTTACTTGGGATAGAATACTCACTCCGAAAATACAAATCCCCCTAATATGCTGGTGTCGTAAAAATCATTCTTTGGTTTCCCGTATAAAAATGTACTGGGCATGGAGGATTACCATTCGGTGCTATTTTAGACATTTATCGATTCTGAACACAAACCAGGAGGAAACATCAAAATCTGGGCAGAAAGTCATTTTCAACATACCTACGAGTTTCGTTAAATGTTGTGACATACGCCTGCACATAAATCTTTGACTGATTTATTGAATTTGAGAATCATAAAGACAATTCAGTGTCTTGCTGCCAGAGTGCACTCAAAATGCCGCGCTAACAAGTGAACAGCTGATGATGCTGCGAACAAGACAATTATATTTGTAGACTCCAAATGGATACACTCTGTTTGTAAGGCTGAAAAGTTTTACTGTGTTTTCCTCCAACGAAGGCTAGAAGTCAAACACAATTGAGACTTAGTTTTAACCAGTGGCAGATCTACTAAGTGAAAAGTGACACATGAGGCTGACGGTGATAGAGCTGTGACCTACAAGCAAATCATTTTAGCCGATGTCTAACGGTCACTTATCAAGTGTTGTCTAAATTTTACAGTTTAGTTGCACCATTCTTTGTTGCCGAGCTCGGCCGATGGATGTTCGATACGTCCCATGTCGTTTCGTTGATTTCTTAATAACATAGGCAAAAATTAATGCAAAAATGCAATCTTTAAAATCACGTTCATCGATGGCTTCTATACAGCGATATGCCGGATTGCTTTGCTCTAATTCCAAATGCGAATCGAATGAGACTTGGATTATTTAGTTTGGTTAACCGCTACCCAGAAGTCTGTCTACCACTTTTCCGTGCCAAATAATACTAAAATTCCATCTTCAGTTCCCCGCTGGTCACCACTAAGAACTGTGCATTGTAATTGAAAAGACCTTTACAGTTTCAGATCATATACAGATCAGAAAACATGCTCCGAACGCCGGATGAAGTAGCGAGCTGTCTGACCCTTGAAAGTTTAAACCTACATTAGTTTGTTCTCAAATCGACCACCCGGAATGATACCGGACGGCTGGACTCGTACAATGAACTGGGGTTTCGAAAGCCCTTAATCAATAACTTGTTTTATTAGCTTCCTTTCACTGTATGTGTTGGGTTCAGTTGACCTATCACAAAATTTCATCCCCTTAATACCGCGAGATCATCAAGATAATTCTCGTTCAGATTTTCAGATACTCCCTAGTTCGAGCCTATCGCGCGTCATATGCGCGTCATCGTATACAACTAACATTACATGGATGTGTGCAAGACTATCAGTCCCACTCTTATAGAAGGAAAGTGTAGAAATACCGGTGTAACAGTGATACAACTGATGGGAATGTGAATAGTATGTTTCCTCGTAAATCCCCATTGCGTCTCTTGAAAAGTGATGTCCATTACGGATTTTGTGGATTTGCTCTGCAGCATTTGCTTGCAATTGAGTAACAGTCGATAAATATCCAGGAAATTCAGGAACACGCGCTCAAGAAGGAGGTGGATATTCAGTTTTGTAAACAAGATGATTATGAGAGTTTTACTTCACTGTGCAATAAACTGTATCTGTTCAATTGACATTTCCTAATAAATATCTCCGCAGCAAAGGCCTTCTTCCTTACACTGGCGGCCCAGATGAGCGTAGTTTTTGATCTGTCCGACGAGTTCTGTGACTAATTTGTAAACATTTGCGACCATGCGAGGAGACTTCGTCAGTGCGCATTCAACTGCGAAGAGTGAGGATATACGCTGCTTTCTGTTAGTATTGAGTTAATGAACTCAATTACTGTGACTTAGTTCGCTTAACGTAGAGAAGTTAGTCGATGGACATGCGGATGTCAGTCCAGGTTTAACTCAGTACAGCAAAATTTAACAATTTTCTTCCAATTTACACTGATGCTTCCTTGGGTCTGTTACAAACGTTTTTTGGACCATAAAATAGCTCATAGATCTTTGGTAGAGCTTCCAAGTTGCTTTGAAGTTTTACAGGTTCAGTACCCAGGTGGCCTACATAGGCTAAAGCTTCCTTCTAGAGTGCATCATCTCAGTCAATAACAAATAAAGACAGCATAATTGCAAATAGAACTTTGGTTTGACTATCAGTCGATCCTGAGCGTATACCAGCTAGGCCTATCTGTGTTCAGGTCAACGTTTATCCATTCAAACCCACTCAGAGAATCATCAGCACCAGCGTCAACACCAGCAGGAACGACAACAGTACCCAAACTACGATATGACCGAAGAATGCTACAGACCTCCCACTAAAACGATCCTGAGCGAAACAGATCAGCGGCTCCTCCTAACCGTGGACCCCGGCCCAGATGATGTTACAATTTCTCCGGAGCTTCTACCGGTTCTGTTCTGCTTGCACATGCGTCTTCAGATTTTCCACACATGCTTTATATGCGCCGAAATACGTAAGTACCAATTACTACAAATTTGTCTACTAATTGGTTCTTGACAGCAGTAGAAGCCAAATAATCCTACGTGAAATCTGATATCCTACCGAATGATCTTAGCAAATCACCATGCTCTTTAGAACTTGCATCCGTATGTTGCAAAACATGTTACTGCTTTTTCATCTGAAAATTGCCATTCCTGTCCTTGTGGCGCGTCATATTTTCAACTGATAATAGATGTAGGAATATTTCAATCGGGCACCTTTAAATAACGGAAGCGTTTTTTAACGACAATGGATATGTGCGACTTCATCTGAAGTGCTGATAATGAAATTGTTTTTTATTTGATATCGTATCAATCTGACCTGTAACGCAAAGGAACACAGAGCACAACGCCACAACGATGACAAACGGCCCATTAGATTCACCAAATTCTATTTGAAAGAAGCAAGGACGCAAAGGAAACTTCTTCAAAAACACTGCCGGTAAAAAGATTTGACGCTAATCAATTATATTTTCGTTCTAATTTTGCTTCAAAACCAGGTCACCCGGTAACAAGTTTATTTTGTTGATGGCCTGCATCTGCTTACGTTTTGTCCCAAAGTTTCCAGTCAATAATTCTGCGTTAAAATGGATCGTCTAGTATTCATTTTAAGAGTTCAGCCATTCCCATAAGACCATTCGGCATGTTAGGCCAAGTATAGTTAAATGCTGCTCATGTAGAATATAACTTTCACCGCATGGGTGCAGGGAATGATGGTGTGGTTCTTGACACCCATTAGGCAGCAATGCACGCGTGCTCAACTTCATTCTTTCACGAATAAAGCAAACATTTCTCAAGTTGGTGAAAACTTGACGAGATGTGGCCGAAATAAAACTAAGCACGTTGTATGAACCAGATCTCCTCGTGGTCCGAGAATTCTGACACGTGTTGAATGAAAACCGGAATGAAAAAATTGGTTGTTAGCTACTCAGGAAGTTTAAGTAGCCACACAAAAGCAACAAAACAGGGTTGGTGATTTTGATGGCTTCTCAAATTTCCTAATTCTGTACAATCCTGGTTATGGAATACAAATTGACATTCGTCGTCCCGCCCGCTTCAGATTATAAACTGTATTGGAGTCAACAGTACTTCAATCATTTCTTAAAAATAACGGTATGTCGTTGCCTTTCGAATAACAGAAGGCGTGTATGACTTTGTCACAGGATAAGCATATTCGTAAAGTGGAAGTTCTTTCATCGGATATTGCCGTACCATGGAAAGGTCACATCTTCACCCACACTTCTTTCAATCCAACCCGATAAATGAACGAAAAGAACAACTGAATTCTGAAAGTGAACAGATAAAACATGGCGTTTCAATTTACATGTGAAATGCAATGAAAGGAGAAAACCGACAGTTCATTTAAATATGAAAATAGCATGGTAAGATACGGCAAACGGAATGGTTGGAAGTTCCATACGGAAATAAATTGTAAGTAATATACTAAAGGCTGAACTGTGCGTTGGTTGACAAAATCAAATGAGAAATTCACGGATTGTGGAACAAAATGTTTCCTTGTTTGAGGTTGAAACGAAACGTGTTGCACAATGTTAAACGTGAGTGGAGCAAGCAGCATTGGAGTGAAAAATGGCATGAAGATATGGAAAGCGGAGGAGTTCGTAAATTCGGAACGAATACCTCGGACTGTTGAAGTTCCGTATTCGAGAGGATCGTCAAACGAATAGCGTTTTGTTTTGTGCACAATGAAGCATGCACTGCTAACAAACTGAAGCTCACCACATTCGCTGCAATCAAAGTACTCAAGTGGAAGTTCAAATTGTGAGTGTCAACCAAGTTGCCGGCATAAGGAGTGAAGAGAAATTCTAAGTCAGGGAATGTAGTGGTTTATGTGAATAAGTACGGTTTCATAATTCGAACTGCTTAGTTGAAAATATCGAACCTCACGGACAGCCGAAGACAAACACGGTAACTCAGGAAACGCTAATATAAGATGAATCTAATATTGGTATTAC